GCGGGCGCGCGGCGCGCGCGGATGCCCCGACTCGCCGGCAGGTTTGGCGCGCTGCGCCTACAAAGGGCGCACGGCACGCGCGCTGACCTGCGCGATGCCCAGTCGCGACGATCGTCGCGGGAATTATGTCGCGAATGCTTATGTGGCTGGCCCGCCTGCCGCCCGTGGGAGCGGCCGCTGCGTTGCCCAGTGAACTGATGGCGCAATTATGCAGATGCATTGCCCCGCGGTCGCCCCCGGTCGGAGATATGGCGCCATGCATGAAGGGGGGGGGAAGGGGGGGGGGCTGGTGATCTCATGGTTGGGCACGCACATCTGCCAGCGACCTCCGACCCTGTCGAGACGCGTCGCAGGCACCTAGGGTCGATTCAGGCCCCCCCCCCCCCCCCCCCATCCGCGGCCCACGCGGCGCGCTTGCGGGAGATGGGAATTTCATCGAGGTTGAGGAGAGCAGGTTTAGGACGGACGGGGCGCGGGTAGCAGGAGATCGGCAGCAGACAGGCGCCTTCGCGTCGGAACGCAGCTCTCGGGCTGAGTTGCGCCAACAAGATCCCGCGCGGAAGGGGCGTCTTTGCTGGCGCGGTGCGTGGGGCGGCGCGCTTGGGCCGCTTCATCGCCTCTTTCTCTGCGCCAGTGCGGAATGATTTCCTGGCCATAGTCAATGCATTCGGTCATGCTGTCACGAATTGGTCGCCCTCGGACCGCGCCCCAGTCGCGGCCGCCATCTCGATTGGGGCCCCATCCGCCTGGCCCACCCAGGCCCCCATATGGATTTCTTAGAAAAGGTTGCACCGCAGGCTCCGTTGCAGCGCGATCCCGGAGATGGGCCCGCGCCCCCCCCCCCCCCCAGTGGCAAACTTGCTCGTGTCGGGGATTTGTTCTGGCACACATCCGGTATAAACCCTGTCGCGGCTTCGGCCCCCGAAGACCCAATCTGAACGTCGGCGCCTCGCAGCGAGGCGCGCAGGGGGTGGCGCGCTGGCGCCTTTCGATGCGCACCAGGGACCAAGGCCATGGTGGCCCGCCCCGAGCTGCCCCGGCATTTACACCTGATAGGGAACGTTGTCCGGATGATATTTGGCACTGGCTCGCGCGCAGAAAGACTCTTGGCGCCAGGCAGAGCAGAGGGCTTCGGACGGGCGGGGGGAGGAGGAACACAGGGCGAAGAGCAAGAGGATGGCACGGATCCAACTTTCGCGACGGGCCCTGGCCAAGGTGCGCCGGCGGCATGGGCTGTCGGGGGCCCCGGGCCCCGACGGCAAAGCCGGCCCGCCCCGATGCGTCGGCCGCTGCTCCCGAAGTCCATTAGGCGCAAGTTCTCGCGCATCGGGGGCCCGCTCGCTCGCTCTCTGGCTGGAGACCTTGGGGCGCGCGCAGCCCACGCAGATCGAGCGCGATTCCCGGCGCTTGGATCTCGATGCGTTCGTTGAAAGGGCACGCCATATACGCCGCTCTGCCCCGTGGGTGGGGGGGGGGGGGCGGGGGCGCGCGGGCGTTGGAAGGCGGGTGAAGCTGCTGGGGCCCGCCCCTCTTGAAGTGCGCTCTGAGATGCACGGTGCCTCTGCTGGAAGGGCGGCTTCAGGGCGCGAGGGCAGGGGTCGCGCGCGGCCCCCGCCGAATGACTTGAAGGAAGACGAGCACCCAAGACGAGGGCCCCGCTGAGCTGGCGCGCGCAGCCGGCAAGGCGCGCCCCCTGACCCTTGTCAATGCGGATGCGGAAATATTGAGCGACGCCTCCTCGATAGTTTCGCAGCGGCTTCGCGGGCGACGGTCGACGCGACCCAGCGCGGGGGCGTTTCTGGAAATGGGGGCCCTTAAACAGCGCTGTCGAGATCGAGCGGCGGGGCTTCCGCCAGATGCTGCCGGGCGGGGGTCGCCTGGGGGCTTTAACTTTCTGGTTTCGAGGCGGCGTTTCCCCGCGCTGACCGCTGCGCGGCTCTCGATCTCGGCGACGCGCGCGCCTGGCGATGCAGTTCGTGGCTTCCACGAGGAGTCGCGCAGAAATGTCGCCGCGGTCAACTGCCCTGGGGCGCCACCTGGAATTTGCGGTAGAAGTTGGAAAGCGATGAGTGGTTTTTAGCGCTCTGCTGTCTGGGGCCGCAGGGGGGGAGGTCTCGGGACCTGGTGGGGCGCGCACTGGTCGACGGCTTCCTGGCGGCCCACACTGCCGGGCGGGTGGGCGCCCAGGTCCTTGGAGATTTCCAGATCATTGCTCGTCTGAGGCAGCTGTCTCGCCGTCGCCCCAAAACTGCGTGAGGCGCTTCGGTCGCTCCGTCTCGTTGCCGCCGTTCGGCGCGCCCACCCCTCCCTTCCGCCCGCGCCTCCTGTCCCCCTGGGCAAGACCTTGGGAGTCCCCCGCCTCCTTTCCCCATGTCTTCCTGGCTCCTCTAGTCCCCCCCCCCTTCCTGAGCCCCCTGCTCCTGCATGGCGTATAAAGCGCTTGCGACCCTCATTGGTCTTCGAGGTTGGCTGACTGGTTATCCGAGGTCTGTTTTGCCATCGAAGGCTAGCATGTTTCGCGTTCGGACGTTGTGTTTTGGCACATTCAGGGTCAGCCATGGCCCCCCGGGCTCGGTGGGGTGTCTTGAGGACATTGGCCTTTGCCTGCCTTCCTTTCCGTTCCTTGCCTTTGTTGTTGTTTCTCCTCTGTCGCCCCGCCGTCGGCTCGCTCCGTCGCCGCCGTCGGTTTAGCCCCCTCTCCTCGCCCTCGGTCTGCAGCTCTCCGCGGTTTCCTTGGTCTGTTCCTCGTGCAGGTCTCTCCCCCGCGCTCGTTGTTGTCCCTTGTCTGACCCCCCTCTGTTTCCTGCTGCTTGCTGTTCCCCCTTCTTGCGCCCTTTTCTCGTGATCTTTCTGTTCTCCTGCGGCGCGGGGGCGAGGGGGGCGAGCCAAACATGTCGCTTTAGATTTGTTTGCCGATTCGGATTCTTAAGCTGAAAAGTTGCAGCAGTTTCACACAGGATAGGATGCCGTTTTCAAAGTGTAGGCTTCGCCTTAGCGCCGCGCGCATTCGCTCTCAGAAATGCAAGCTAGCATTTCGCGGAGCGGGCCGTTTTCAGCATGTGGTGTTCGTTCAGCGTTGCGCGCGTTCGTTTTGAAGTTTGCAAGAGCTTCACGGATGGAGGGCGGGCCATTTTCAAAATGCGTTTCTCGCGTTAGCGCCGTGCACACCCGCTTGAAAGATGTGCAAAAGTTTCACGGGTGGGGGGCGGACCGGTTTCAAAATGTGTTTATCGTTTCAATGTCGTGCACAATCGTCCCGCAAATTCCCTACCTAGGCTCTGCCTAGAAGGGATCTTACTCGGTGTGCTGAAAGGGCCGGGCAGTGGGGCCCGCCCCGGGCGGTTCCCCCAGTATCCGCCCCGCGGTTCCCCCAGCTACGTCCCCTTAGCTTAGCGTTGCTTATCTCATCTTAGCTTAGCCAAGCTTAACTTAGCTTAGCTTAGCTTAGCTTAGCCTAGCCTAGCCTAGCTTAGCTTAGTTTAACTCAGCTCAGCTTAGCGCAGCGCAGCGCAGCATTAGCATAGCACAGCATAACATAGCATAGCATAGCACAGCATAACATAGCATAGCGCATCATATCACAGCGTAGCATAGCAAATCATAGCATACCATGGCATAGCGCAGCATCGCATAGCATAACATAGCTTAGCTTAGCATAGCACAGCACAACATAGCACAGCATAGCATAGCATAGCATAGCATAGCGCAGCATATCATAACATGGCATATCATAGCATAGCATAGCGCAGCATA